TTGACTCTTCAGGTAGCCATGGCTATTAGCACTTGTGATCCTTTGTTTAAAAAATTGTTTTGTTTTAAATCTTGGTTGTTTGGCTTTGATGGGCCAGCACTATGTAATATGCTCTGTTCTTAAAGTGGTGGCAGTTACGAATTGGAGGCTTGGTAGCTTTCTACGTATGCTTTTGTTACAAATGATCAAGATATGTCGGTAATATTCGTAATGATCATTCTGGATAACAAGTAGTTATCTTAATTCAGATTATTTGTTAGAACTTATTCTAAACTTTGTCATATGGAGGAATATGTTGATTAAAAATGTCATGTCAGCCTATTGCTAATACCTTAGTTCAGAAGGAATAACTAAAATTTAGTTAGCTGAACTTGTGACACATTCCATAGAAATATTTTCTCGAAGTTAAACTGTTCTAAAATATTTACTATCATCTATTTAATCCAATTACTGTAGAGAGCCATCTGAAAGTCTTTTAGCTGTTTTTTAATTCAAGTAACCAGCTGGAGAGCTGCAGATGGTGTTGACAATACTATCTGCAGTTATGAAGCATCTTCACTTTACTGGCATTTCTTACTTTGTTGGAAACATCACCTTTCCCATGGGCATGTCATGCTAGGAGATAATGGAATGTTGTGAGTGGTGTGCCACTTTACAATTTTTTTTTTTCTTCTTCTGTAGGGTGAGTACTATTGACTGGTGTTAAGGGAGGGGAGGAATCATTTCTCTCTGCATGACTGAGATCTAGTCTGGAAAACCAGGAGCAATTGGTTCAGCCAAATGCCTTCCTTGTGCTTTCACGCTAATGTATTAGTGGAAAAGCATGCTTTCTCTAATTAAGCTGCTTTACACTTCAATTGTCTGCAGAATGTGCCTATTTGTGTTGTATCCCTTGTGTCTAGTAGTTGTGAAATCCCAGTTTAAACTTCTTTTTTGTCTGGTGATACTATGTAAGAATTCTAGAAATTGGTCTGCTGCATAAAGTAGTATTTAACTTACTATTTTAAATTGTTCTGGTAAACTTACAAAGTATAGGTCATTGGAGAACTGTGGAAGGAATGGAGTTGTTTCTCTGTTTAGATACAATCATTCTGCATACTGTAGGGATTTGGTTTGGGGGGAGATTTGCTTGGCAAGGTCAAGCAGCAGACCTTCCTGAAAAAGACCTGTCCTTAACTCCTGAAGTTTCTTTCCCTGGGAAATAGTGAGCTATAGTATGTGGTGTTGTTAAAGCAGCAGTTATTGAATGTGGAAGTTGTATCTTTAAGTTGCTAGCTTGTTAGATGGCTGCTAAAAGTTGAACTATGTAAGCAGCAGTATATCACTCACAACTTTAGGAGTTGGGAAGTCTGTACTTCAGCTGTACCTAGGGGATATTGCCGAACCTGGGGTCAAAATGGAGGAAGAACAGGCAAATTCTGGGTTGCTTACTTTCTCTAGGGTTCAAATTATTTTGATACCAATTTCTGCTCTGAAATGGCCTTCAGGTGAGGTTTGAAGCGTAGTAAATGGAGAGAAAAAGAAAAGAGATTACATTATACCTTAATGTGAACTTGGTGCACCCGTTCTTGCACTGGAGAGGTTCGTCAGGTGGCTTGCGTGTCCTGCTGACTGCCCTCTGACATGACCGCTTGAATGTTACAGGCTCCGTGTCCCCTACAAACCTTTATGCTACCTGTTTGCAGTCTTAGAAATGCCTTGACAATTTGATTCTTATTTCTGTTGAAATCTGCCACTATTTAATGGATATAAATGCTAGGTATTTTTAGATGTGGTTGTGTTTATGATGTTAGAGGAGTAAGATTTAACCAGTACTGTCAGGGTACAAATAAGCCTTCTGCTATCTAGGTTGCAGAAGGCCCAGTTTGTGGTGGGTGTTTTTACTTACACGACTCAGCATTGTAGTTGACTTTGATTTTTATCGAACTTACACAATCCTGGTAGAGACACATTTTTCGGAGTACTGAAATGTGTTGTTTAGTACAGAAACTGCTTTGTATCTCCTTATGGTTACAGTTTATCTAAAATGGGAGATGAGTAATTAGGATCTGTCAGAACAGAGAATATTTGACACATCTGTAAGACAGATTGTACCCAGTAATAATAGGGTTGCCTGTGTAACTCATAGCTTAGTGTTACCTGTTTTCACATTAACTCTATGATAGTAACAAGTAGTCCTCTTGTATACCTTTTTGGTAGAGGAGAGTAAATTTGGTTTAGAATAAATAGACTATTTCAGTTGGAAGGGACCTACGATGATAATGAACTGCCTGACCACTTCAGGGCTCACCAAAAGTTAAAGCACGTAGTTAAGGGCATTGTCCAAATGCCTCTTAAATGCTGACAAGTTTGGGTATCGACCACCTCTCTGGGAAGCCTGTTCCAGTGTTTGACCACCCTCTCAGTAAAGAAATGCTTCCTTATGTCCAGTCTAAACCTCCCCTGGTGCAGCTTCGAACTACTCCCATGTGTCCTATCACTGGACACCAGGGAGAAGAGCTCAGCACCTCCCTCTCCATGTCCCCTCCTCAGGGGGCTGTAGAGAGCAATGAGGTCAGCCCTTGGCCCCCTTTTCTCCAAGCCAGACAAACCCAGAGTCCTGAGCGGCTCATCACGGGACATACCTTCCAGCCCTTTCTCCAGCTTTGTTGCCCTCCTCTGGACGCATTCCAGGACTTTCACATCCTTCTTAAATTGTGGGGCCCAGAACTGCACACAGTACTCAAGGTGAAGCTGCACCTATGCTGAACACAGCGGGATAATCCCCTCTCTGGACCGTCTGGTCGTGCTGTGTTTGATGCACCCCAGCAGGCAGTTTGGCCTCTAGGCTGCCAAGGCACACTGCTAACTGCTGTTGATCCTTCTGTTGACTAGGACCACCAGATTCCTTTCTGCAGGGCTGTTCTCCAGCCACTCCTCTCCCAGTTTATGCTTTTGCCTGCTGTTTATCCACCTTAGGTGCAGAATCTGTCATTTGGTCTTGTTAAGTTTTATTCCATTATTCACAACCCAGTCCTCCAGTCTATCTAGATCACTCTGCAAGGCTGTTTCTCACAGAATCACAGAATGTTCGGGGTTGGAAGGGACCTCTGTGGGTCATCTAGTCCAGCTCCCCTGCCGAAGCAGGGTCACCTACAGCAGGCTGCACAGGACCTTGTCCAGGCAGGTCTTGAATATCTCCAGAGAAGGAGACTCCACA